TGTGCTGTTTGATAAAAGCTCATGGAGTGAATGGAAAGAGATTGTCCAATAGGGGGTATCTATATGCTCTTTCGATATTATACATATTCCAAATGTAATGCATAGGTGGCCTGATCGTTGCATTCAAAGAAATGTCAAAGGTCAACAAACACACTAGAAATAATCTGCTCTGTGTCATAAATATCAGCAGTGAATTTATTGGGATCCCTGCCAGCAGATATCTCGCTCGACTGGATCGACTGACTGAATTTCATCAACATACTTAAGCCTGAAAAGACAAATACATGCTCGCACTACTAGTCCTACAAATCACCATAAGATGACCGGCTCAATGTAGTAGGACGTGTAAACACTGGATAAATAAAAACTTGACAAACTTAGATAAATAAAGAGTTCACAGAAGATAAAGTTAGAGATTATAATAAGAATAATAAAAGCATACCAACACCTTGAAAGGGACACAAGATGAGATAGACATAAATTAAATCACCGGCAAACCATCACAAAAAAAAAAAAAAAAAAAAAAAAATGTAACTATATATATATATTATATATATATATATATATATATATAATATATATATTTTATAATATATTATATATATATATATTATATAAATGAAGTCCCCCGGGGACATATATATATGTATATTATATATACAACAGGACTTGTGTTTATTAGAAAATAACAAATGAATAATAAAAAAAACCCTCATAAAATCACGATGCTGCCTTCTGCTCTGTTGGAGTATTGAAAGTATATGGAAAATTCATGTGGGGTGTATGTTACTTATACACCAAAGTCACCAAGTGTGTTACCATGTAATCAAGTCATGACCTTGTATGAGACCTCATTGCTGCAGGGCATTGCAGCAAGCAAGGCTAACATGGGGCTAATGAGGGACATTCATTGCATCTGGGTGGAGCGGAGACATGCAAGCACACTCATACACACATATTCAACAGATCCATCCTTCCGATCACTGCTCCCTATAGCCCTGGAGCTCACAATGAAACCCAGTGTCTCCCTGAGTGGGAAGCCTTTGCTTTCCTCCCTGACCATTCTCACTCATCCGCGACCGAAATAGACATCGCTTTGCTTCCCTGCTCATTCTCCTAGTCAACTTCTGGTTGACACACACTGGATGAATGACTACGTCCTCCTGCTCGCCTCAGTCGACTACTGAGGTGCAGTTCCGAGTTGTCGAGCTCGCAACAGAGAGAATAAAGAACAAGGGAAGTTGGGTTTGGCTTGAGTGTGGAAGGGGTGTGGGCTGGAGGGATCGGTAGACACTTCATGCAGGCACACAAACACACTTTTACACACTTACAGCAAAGCTAGCTGGCTTTTGACAGTAGCAGAGTTATTATGGCGAGGTGAATATTACCCCCGTGGGACTTCATTTACCTCCAGCATATTCACTGAGTTTCTCTGTGTTTTACTGCTCCTCATAATCCAAGCCAACCACACACATGCACAAGCACATATACTTGCACTCACATCACCATATCACACACTATTTTTATGTCCATGAATGTTGTCAGGGTTATTATTGAGATCATTATGGGATGTGGATTCAGATTCCCCCACCTACTGCCCCCGTTCCCCTCTCCAATCCCACCCATTTTGTTGCAGTTCTGAATCTTAGAGACCTCTCATGAAAGGTTACTAAAGCTTTCCGATTTGAGCTTCTATTAATCAATAAAGCGTACAGTCACACACAGACACACACACACACACACATTCACATATTCAAAGAGGTGTGTTTGTATTTTGCAGCTTGTATTATTGTAATTCTCCTCTTGGTATTTAGCCAGTAAAGGTCACTGATGGACTTCTTTTGTTGTGCTGTTTGAGGTCTCTTTCGCCCATTGTGTTAACAACTCATTAAAAATTGAGGGACGTGAGGCGGGCAAGGAGACATTGCATATGTTTGGAAGCATTATTATTATTAAATAATCATGTTTGTCTCCTAAATTGAGAGTGACTCATGCCACAATATCAGTAATTAGATAAATTATTGATGGGCTAGCGGGTGGGTGAGAGGATGGTCGGTGGTGGAAATGGAATTGCCAAACCCAATTACTGTCTTTTCCTCAGAGTGGCCCCATTAGGGTTGTCACTTATACTACCAAATGGCGGTAGTAATAAAACCACAACTAGCACTTAACCGCTTAATTAATAGTAAGATGATTAATATTTTAATTGCCCGGGATTAAATACCACTCGTGCCGAGAGTGAAGCTTAACAGGAGCAGAAGTTGACATCCTGTGCCCGCCGCTTAAAAACATGTCATGCTTTTCATCTTTTTCACACAGGCTTGAACATCGTACTTGCCCTAGCCAATCACAAAAAGATGAGGCAGGTAGGAGTAAAAGTAACTTAAATAAGTATCACAAAATGTGTTGGAATTTTTAGGAACTGAAATGCCTAAACCAGTTACCGTACACGAGATTTTATATACTGGGATGCCACCAAAGAGGGGTTGGTACAAGGCTGCCCACATCTAAGGTGTCTCCTGATGGTTACACTATACTATTAATATCATCATCACAAATCAATTTGGATGTTTAGACTAAATTTTTGCACTTTCCTATACTTGCCTTTATAGGATGATGTGAGTCTCTGACATTATTTTTGTTTTTTTCAAAGTCTGACCATGTTTGTTAAATGTGGTCCTTTACTTTGTTGTCCTGTACTCTGGATAATGCTTATATATGTGTCTGTCTTCTGACTTCATGTCACAACTGTGTAAGATGCAGTTATGAAGGTTTACAGGTGCGCAGTCAAGATCAAAATAACCCAATGATATCTGTAGTCTCATTCAAGGACAATAAGTAAAGCACATCTGTGATAGCGAGGCAGCGGGGGCCTTTGGTATAACCACTTCACACACCTGTCCCAGTCTTTTTATTTTGTTATCTATTTGGAACTCGCCACAGGAAGTATTTTGTATCTGTGTTTTAAAGTTTTTGAATATGAATGTGATCTGAGATTTAATTAGCATCACAGCTGGTGTAATCATATCCAAGACAGTGTCTAATTAAAGGTATTAACAAAAAAAATAACACTTTAACACAAATGCTTTTTGTAAAATATACAAATTACTTTATCAGCTTTTATCCCAAACTATGAAAAATGAAAATCAGTGCAACTATTTTTTGGATGTGGGTTATCTAGTGTTTTTTAAAAGCAGAAAATTGTGGCATAAATTTTAACAATCAAAGTTTGAGATATTACTTTTTTTGCCTACTGAACTACAAAAACAAACCCCAAGCAAACCTGCGTGCAAATGTACATACTCATGTATGCCACGGTAAAAAAAAGGACTTTCCCTCTTCTACTAATACCCATCAACCCTCTCTCTCAAGAGGGCATGCTGTCTTCCATCTACAACATGAATAAAACAAGTTATTCTTTTCTAGATAAACACCCTCCAAGTGCCCGCAAACAAAAGGGGGAAAAGACGCCAAGCTTTGGTTTTCCTCCAGCAATTGCAATGGAGATGGGCTCCCCAGACACTTGCTGGGCTCTGCAAAGTGGCCCTGCATTTCACAAAGTGTCTGCTTTGCCAGAGGCACAGGATGGAACTTTTAAGCACAAACAAAATCAACTAAATACCTAGCAAGGCTTGTTCGTTTGAACAAAGCGTATTATTCATTCACTTATCAATTCTTTATGTACATGGTATTATTAATCCCCCAGTGAGATTGAAGCTGTTTGTTCTTTTGAATCTACAGAATGACTCTGCTGGTAAGAGAATCATTAGGAAGTATCACTTTGGCCCAGATTTGACAAAGAAGCTGAGAAAGTGCATATAGCGGCAAACGATAAGGTTAAGCGTGGTAAAATGAGAAAAGAAACGTGGCGGACAAATTGAGGAATTAACAACGTGCGAGTGGGGAAAGTCTCCGAGGGCCCAGTACAGAGGCGAGACCTATTAGAGCTCATGGCACTAGGCAGCTGTGTGGTAATTATCATCATGTGTTTAGCACAGCGCCCTTAACCAGGGCAACATATAGGAATTCTGTTTTAATCACTTAGTTGGCCCGTTTGGTGTTGGATGCATGTGTGAGAAGTGGATGAGGAGGGGATTTCCATTAGTATGCTACTTTAGCATTAAGTGTCAGTATGCCAACTCAGGCATAGTTGGCACCTTGGGCCGATCCAGGTGTGTGACCCACTGTGGCTAACTTGGCCTCGCGTTGAATGAGGGTAACTTGGTGTCCTTGGGGAAGGTGAAAGAGTGACCCCATGAAGCTCCAGCTGGGTGCCTGGTGAGCATGTGGCCCAGATGTGTCTGTGTGTGTGTGCAAGAGTGTGTTTACATGTGATTGTGAGCCTTTTAGTGCATACATGTCTGCCCAGTGCCAGCTTTGTATGAAACAGCTGGCTCCCACCATCTGCTACTCCTCTTCATGAGCAGCTCCAGAATGTGTATAGACTGGATGTGTGTGTGTGCGTCCCATGTGTTGATCCCTTCTTTTTCAGTATTATTCCTTCAACATTTCGAACAATTAAAAACATCATGCATAAATGTAATATCAAACAACTTTGAGAGGTTATACTGTGTACACACAAATCAAAACAAAACAAAACAAAACAAAAAAACATGCCATGTATGCAGTGTGGCTCCTTTCAAACAGAGAAACCAGACTTTGATTATTGGAGTAAGTAAAACAGTGAATGTACTTTTCTTTAAAAGCTACACTATCTAGTGTATTTTAGCTTTTCCCTTTGGTTGTTAATCATTTGCTCCAAGCAAGTCTACTCTATCTAACAGACTCAGGGAAAAAAGAGAAGGATTGGGAGGTTAGGGGGGGTTAGTATGCTAAAATCCACCCAAAACAAGACACAAGAGACATTCGGTTCTACTGTTAATTAGGGAGCCAATATTACAGGATAAATCAGAGATGGAGGGAAGGTGTGAAGGAGAGTGAGACGAGGGAGGAGGCACAGAAGTGGAGGAAAGGGAAGTGGGGAAAAGAGAGATTGAGAAACAGAGAGAGAGGGAGGGCAGGGTGTTGATTTGAGCAAGGCCTGGGGGCAGCCTACAGGGTAGAGAAGGGAATGATAGACTGGCTAACCAGATGTTGATCAGGCCTATGTAGCGCTCTTCTTTTCATCAATAGTGAACAAAAAAAGTGGCAAGAGAAATCCTGTTAGCTGCATACTTATTTGCTTCAAAGTCAGCCTTAAAAACCACCAAGTGTCACTTGACTTGAGTCTAATCAATTCTGCGTTTTGATCTAGAAATGGCTGAAACTTTCGGCGTTTGATGACAGAAAATGTCTGTTGTTAAAACGGATGTCATCTACAGGATGCGTGCGCGCACACTGCCCAGCAAGTATGATGCTGCTCACAGAAGACAGTAATGAAAAATGATGTCCCTTTACCTCCCCAAATTTTCTAGAGTAACAGTGGTGGCAAAAGTGAGTAATCTGTAATCGGAGCGATGTGGAGGAGTGCAGTGCAGCTAATGCGACTAGACCCTGCTGTTCTCCGAGGAAGACTGCTGGAGGGGAGGAAGAAGACGAGGAGAAGGAGAGGCAGAGGGATGAGCAGGAAGAAGAACACACACAGAGGCTGTTGGGGGATCGCTTGCTCCAAACATAGCAGAAGGTATGGAACAAGGCGCACTGTGTGGGCCCCATTATTTTTACTCCCCATTCTCTTTTTCCCCTCTCTCCTTTTGAAGACGGCGGGATTTTTCTCCTCCTCCCTGACATAAAAGTAAACAACGTTGCCTGCAGGCACAATTTTCCTGGCAACACAATAAAATGTGCAGTGAATTTATGATGGTCATCCATTAGCTCTTACCAAGGAAACATCACCCGTATCTGTCGTCCATCATTATAATAGAGGGTTAATGCACTGAATTTACATAAAAAAGTCATATTGTCTGCATGAATTATTTACACCCTCAGCTGTTTTTTCCAATTTCTCTCTTTTTTTCCCCTCTTCGTCCGCTCGTTCGTGGCGAGGGGGATTTTGGTCCAGAGTCTCGTGGAGAAAATCTGACAGTAAATTCCGCCGTGAGGTGGTCCTGTCGTCGCCACCTCCTTATTCCAATATTTCCCCCCTTTCTCTGTCTTCCCACCCCTCCTACCCTCCATCTCATCCTCCTATTCTGCCCTTTGAGGGACAGTAAGAACTGAAGGCATTGTGATGGGGTTGTTTATGGCCTCTGCTTTATACCGAGTCAATCAACACACTGAAAACTACTTTCACAGCTTCCAATATGTAAGCAGATTTCACTGCTGATCAGAGTCCTTTAGATTACCACCTACCCTCAATATCTGTCAGAACTGAGGTGAATATATGTCTGTGTTAGCTAATTCAATGTCACAATCAGATGGCACAGTTAAGATTATTTAATCTTTAGTGGCCTAATCTGGTAATGCACACAAAATGATCACAGTGCCAGTCGTCCCACTCTAAGTGAATTATCCCGATATCACAACCCTGTAATGAAGGCTTGTACAGCGCTAACAGTTGCCTCTCAGACCCCGGGGAAAGGCTCCGTGATTGAGCAATTATGACAAGCTCAATTACTGTCATCATATTATCATAGCTAATCCAGCTCCGCCATGCTGCGCCTTCCACTGCACTGATCACAGCGCCTTTTTCACTGTCACTGAGGTGAGAAAGTGCTGTCACTGACACCGCTTGTGCTCCCATGAACACGCTCAAATGAATGTGGCAAATATGTCAATCTACTGGTGCCTGTCTCTGTTTCTATCTTTCTACTGGATGTCGCTGGGATGGATGTCTTAATTTTTTTCTAATTCTGCCTGACAGTGCCACAGGCACTCTTGCGTGCTGAGTTAAATTTGTGATGCGCCTTGACAGAGTGCAGGTTTTGTGAGTTATCTGCTCCCCTGATATGGCTAACGCGCTTCTGCACTGCCGCCACGACTCATATGGCTGTGCAATGAAGCAAACGGAGACTTACTGAACACGGAAAGAAGTGAAAAGGTTTCAGAAGTAATGTAATGTGTCTTTACCTCCTTACCTTTACAGATTAGTGACCTCAAGTTCTTACAGATAATGCCCAAGCAGGCGGAGTGACACAGGTCAGTCAGACAGATGTAGATGAGGAGGTCAGTGTGGAAGGAAGTCGAGCCAAACTTGCACAGAGCAGGTGTTTTGCAGAGACAGTAGGAGTAATGCCAGAGGTGCGAGGGAAGGCGGACGGATCAATTGGTGCTGAGCCTCAGGTACAACCCATTCTCATCCATATAACATCCCTTTATACTGCCTCTCCCTGCCCTGTGCTAATGTTATGTGTTTTCTTCCCTCTGTGCTCTTGTTTATTCCTCTCACTGGTACATTTCCCCTCAGGGGCCCGATCCCTTCTCGCCTCCAGGCCTGTTTCTCACCCCCGTTAAGGAGGTGGGGATTAGAGGTCAGGAACACCGCCACGTCCTCTGCCCGCATCGATCGCTGTTTCACAAAGTACTCCAGGCAAGTAACGACTTGTTAGGTGTAAGGCTAGGTTTGCGGCCTAATGACTTCCACTGTTGTCTTTTTTTGTCAGATATATCTGTCAAAACTCAAAAGTCTTGTTGTTTTAAGTCCTTAAGCAGTTATTACATTTACACCTAATGTAAACACGTTTCAAGACACATCAGGTTTGAAATCTTTCACGGGAAAGGAAAACATCTGTACACGTACACCACCTTGGCGCAACTTGCCAGGAAAGTAAACTAATCACTCACTTTGAAACAAAGTATCCCATGATGCTGAGAAGTGCTGAGAAGAATGCAAGCGGGTCAGCTTACTGTACAAATAAGGTGGCAAACAAATTTGCATGTCAAAATTAAAAATCAATGTGTTCCACCTCACCTAATGACCAATCTCCCTACTGCTGCTCCTGGGCTCTGATTAACATTCTGGGGGGTTCAGGAGAAAATGTTAGAGCAAAGCATTAATCTCTCTCAGCAAAAAAGCTTGTATCCTCTGACAGGTGGGTCAAAGTTGCCGTTTAATCTAGCCCATAATTTCTGAAATGTGCTGACAGAGTGTATTTTGATACATTAAAACATGGCTGTGTTTGAGAAAGCTCAAAGCGCCACACCTCAGCAGGAAGTCTCTGTCTCTGGCTTTGAGTTATGGCATACTGGGGTAATAGGAAGAATTCAGAAGAAAAACAACTTGTTTTCTTTCATATTATGTTGCTGCATTTTGTGAGATATGATGTGATCGTTTAATAGGAAAGTAGAAATTAACTGAAGACCATCTTTTGACAGTTTGGGTTAATCTTTAATATACAAAAGAATTCATTTTCACATATGCAGAAGGGAAGAAAAATTGTTTTAAACTTCTGGTGGTTTTAAAATTCTAACTTTGGCATGATTTTTATAACCAGCAGTAAAAGTGCCTGAAATTTCTCCCTTTTTTTGAACAAAGCCCTTAAAGACCCTAAACCTGCCACAACTATTTATTTGTTCAATGGCCTGCACTTGACTTTATTGGCCGTTGGCAGAGAGGTGCCTTCAGAGGTGCCTGCTTGCCTATTGAAAAATGTGTCTCTTACCTCTTGCCCAACCTAGTGGAAATAATATCACTCACACTGAGAGATCATGGTGTCAGGGTCAATTGTCCTGCAAAAGATGGGGGCGATGGGAGACATGTATTGATTTTTCATTTTGTTGGGGTAAGCAAGCATGTTGCGGCTGGGCGCGGATGCAATGAGGCAGACAGAATGTGCTAGACTGCTTTTCAAGCTTGTTGCTCGTGAGCTGTGACTGCTGAAAGACACCTTGCACACACAGACACACACACACACACACGTACAGATACATATGTTTTCAAGTCAAAATGTTCAGAAATGTCAGGGCAACCACCCATTGAAATGTAATCTTCAAAGAAGAGAGAGCTACTGAGGAAAATTTTGGCTAGATATCCAGAAAGGAAACACAGCCAGCATCAGCCCCGATAGGGATGAGATAGAGCTAGCCAGGGCTGGCAATCACAATCAACGTAGTGCCTCGCAGGGTGGAAATGCTAATAAAACATGTTCTATGATGCCACAGGTCAGACGCATCCCAGCAGTCCAGCCTTTGCCCAACAGCTATAAACAATGAATAAATGCCAAACTAATCACCTCTTTTAACCTTCCTTAATGTGTTTAACTCCAACCATCTGAAGTTGTTCATCACTGCAGAGGAAATACAGCTTGATAAAGAATGTATGGGATTCCTGTCAACTCCTCAATATAGTGCCTCTCTTTGCCTTTGCAGTAGAGGAGACTGATCTCCGAGTGGGTCATAACCTACAACATATCCGTGTAAATGTTCTTGCTCCAGTGGGACACAACAAAATGTCTCAAGCTCATTCTTGAACATGGCAGGGTTTAGAAGCCCTTGCAGTCACTTCACTTTCTGAATAAAAATGATATGTTTGGGGGGTGTTGTCTGCATCTCCGCATTCCTCTAACTCTCACACTCCATCCCATCACAGCTCATGCATTTTCTACATCGCCTGTTTGCTCCTCATTTGCAAAGGCTACAGTCACGACGGTGGTCCGAAAGCGTGACAGACATGCAGGGTGAAGAACACAGCGGTCATCCACTGCCCTCTCTTCGCTCCATTCACCTCGATGACCGATACACACCGGTGTACAGCTCTCTACCCAACTACTCTGCACCACCTGTCTCATGTCTGTGCTGTGAGGGCCAGAGTTGAATGCTCACAATATGAGCTCATCAGTATACCTAACACTTCCTGTTAGTACAGGTACAAGCAAAGTCCTAAATATGAATAAAAACATCACTTTTTTAATGTCATAGAACAAAACATTGGTTGCAGAGAAGATTGTCTGTGACAGAAGTTGAGAGTCTGTCATTTCTGCAGGTCAAAGAGAAATATCAGCAAAAGTACCACAAAAACAGTCACAAATATGGAAAAGATTTCTCTTCTGTTATTCTCATCTATCTAGGTGGTACGCACAATGTGATACACAAGTCAACACAAAATTCATGAGAATATTTCAATAATATACTGCATTTCTTGCATTCTTACATAAAAAAATACAGTTTTATGTTTGGATATTTCATAGTTATGTTTCTGAAGATAGAGTCAATGTTATATATGTGTTTTTTTTACTCATACAGTTAACTCCTTGTAAATGCATAATTCCAGGTTAAGGGATGTAATATAGGTAAACAGTGGCTCCTTGGCTGCAGCAGATTGCCTGTAAGTCAGTGGAAGTCCAGCAAGCCTGGAGCTTTGCAGAATGAACAAGTACCAATATTTGTAAATGCCTTGTCTTTCAGTCTGTTAGGTTTCACTCATTATACTTCAAAGAGCAATATGTGCCTGTCTCAATAAAAAACAAATGCACTAACAGTGTCAAGGTCCTCTTTGTGCTCTGTCTCTACTGCTCCATAAGAAACATACAGAGATATGAGTGGCATAGTTTTGAGATTCCTATTTTGCTTGAATTGATGCACAGGCTATAAAATTCATTTTAAGTGATGCAGGTTAAACTTACCAGGAAAACCTGCATGTAGCATCTGTAGCATCTGTACAAAAGTCTGAAATTCCCATATAAACATTTTCATTTCAACTTTAGGAACAGTCGATATATTTTGCAGTGTTAGTGTTTAGCTCTGGGGATGCAGCTTCATAACTACATTAGAGCCAAACAAGAACATAAACAGTGAGATAATCACTAAGGTTGTAAACAAACTCCCAGTTCAGTCACAGACACGCCAAAGAACTGACTAATGATAGCAAATATTTTCAAAGTTACATCTGATGGAAACGCCTTTGCTCTCCGAGGGAACTGATACTGAGCAACAACAGGGAATTTCCCCTTTAATGAACACATGCGTGGAAGTTAGATCTTAGTAAAGTAAACATTACCAAAAATTGTGACAGCAAATTCGATTTTCATGATCAGAATAGAAGTTACGAGAAACACTGGGCTCTAATAGCCATATGGCACAAACTAATGGATAACACTAGATCAGGGTATGGGCAATTATTTTTTCCAAAGGGCCACATGAGAAACCTGAGCTGTGTTATACGGTCAAACCAACAATAACCTGAATTTAACCGTGTTCAATATTAACTTTCTCCAACTGTAAAAAGCAGCAGATTAGGAGCGGAAAACTAAAGTTTGTTTTGGGCTTTAACAAGTGCACTGATTTATCTGGACTTAGCCCTGCAGAGTCCACCTGGCACTGTTTAATAAACTCTCCATCAGAAAATGGTTTACTACCTCTTTTAAGATTTTGTGGGATATGACATAACTTGCTTTGTGAGCTACATCCCTGGATGTGTGTAGCTTTGTAAAATTAAATTCCTTGTTGGTTTTGCAGTTAAGCTAGCAAAGCATCTGACTCCTGACTCGCTATTCATCAGACAAGTACTTGTATTTTTCTGCATGTTTGGTCACATAGTGATTTAAATTGTAGTCCTTGAACACAGCAACCTGTTCACCGCAAACTAAGCTCACAGCTTTTTCTTTGACTCATGTACATAAATATGTTACAGAACATGCCTTGTTAGCAATGCGGCATTCGCTATCAGTCATTCTTTTTTTTGCATGAGCTGACATGTCTGACATGATAGTCAGTAAGGATTTACCTGCACATGCAGCCTTACACAAATAAAAGTCACACTTTCAAAATAAAAGCGGCACAGGACACATCGCATGAACTAATTTCTGTTTACTTTTCTTGTTTGCAAGTGACCACACGCGGGCCAGAGCAGAAGGCTCAAGAGGTCGGATATGGCCCGCGGGCCTTAAATGCCCAGATCTGCACTAGATGTTTCTATTTAGCTAATCCCGCAGTCAAAAACTGTTTAGCACAGAACGTAATCCCACAGTGAAACAGAAGATGTGAGCGCAGCGCCAACACTGGGCTTTATTTTAGCACTGTCATGTAAGGCAGTTATTTAAAATCACAGTAATGCAATCACAGTATATTGAAATAATTAAAGTTTTCACGCTCAGCTATGATTGGATAAGCCTGTTAAAATACAATGTAAGATGAATACAGTTGAAAAATTGGGATATAATTTTTAATGTTTCTTTTTTTTCTAGTTTAATATGAAATTTGCTTAAGTGCTCATGCTACTTGTTGGATAAAAAAAACAGGGGAATTTTCCTTTCATTTCTATTTCATAAGCGAGCGCTCTCCTTTGTTGGAATTATTTCTATGGGTTCAGAGCAGTCAGCCTCCAAGGTGATATAAAACCTACCAATCTAACAATAAATCAAATTCCAATCGCAGTCTATCGAAACTTTGAAAGGTCTCCAAGATCAGAAGAGTCGATTCACACACCTGCTAGGCATGTCAGTGTTTGGGTGAGGTGGTTATCATAACACACATACAGCTGTGGTACTTCCTGCCACTAACGCTGTAAGTGTTCCAGTTTCTTTCAGACAGAGAGGGTAAGGGAGGTGAAAGAGAGGGCGACCCAGCAGCTGCTTACCTC